TGTTCGGCCGCTACACGCATTTAAAGCAATTAGTCTAAAAGTGTGCTACCTTTAATTTCATTTGGCCCAGGCAATAACAACAAGGAACAATGAAAGTTCAAGAGGGCTCTCCAGTAAAATACCCTGGAATGGAAGTGAGTCATATACGGGAGTTGTATTATATATTTTATACAAATGTTTTTGAATCGAAAGGAGACTGCAAAGGGTAACTTACAACCAATATAAACAATTAGTTCACTTAATGAGTACAATATCATTTTTTGGTTTTGTGACACAAATTCCCCATTAATTAGACCCAACATAAGTTACTGGGTAACCAGTTGGCTTAATCTCCAATCCGAACTTATTTCGCAACTTTGTTGGCCGGCACTTGCAGTTGGGGGCAAAAAGTGCAACCCAATCAGTCGGCGGTCGAGTGCTCCAAGTCAAGCCGTTGCCGCAGTTCTAATGAAGCAATTTTCGCTAAAAGCAGTCACCACAGCAGCTTTTCTTCGTACCAACCCCCAACCCCCACCCCCAACCCGCTTTTCACTTTCCCAGCCCCATCAAGTATGTGAGGATTCGTTTGCAACATTTTTAGTTGCTTCGGCGCGTGTTTGTTTCAAAAGCTCAAATTGCGAGTGCCAGGCACAAAACCCAACCGGGCCAAAGAAAAGGAATTACTGCGGGCTCTGCCACTGACTTTTCGCAATTATCCAGCGCACCGAGTGCCCGGAAAATCCCCCGCAATCCCTCGGAAATTTCACCGCCCCCAATCCCCGGCTACGTGCGAATTTATTGATAGCGATATTTTGTGGAAGGATGCGGGGAATCGGTGCTGGAAATGTGTGCTAAGTGCATTTTACATTTCCGGTCAATGGCGCTAACCTCACGAAATCTTCAGCACTTAACTACCAGCACAGCGAAAAAATTCTAATTAAAAGTGAGTGCCTTGAAAACCTCAAAATGCAAATGCATCCTTTCTAATAAATCGAATAAAATTTTGATTGAGTTAGTTGAATTTATTATCAAATTTTAGTTTAAATTTAAATTTTTGTTTGAAATTCAGGACACTGATTTTTCTTCAAGTGCTTCCCTCACATTTCCTCGTCCTCCGTTTAGTCTGATTACATTTCTTATTATATTCGAGCAGTTTTCGCTTTGGTTTTCATTTGCTTTTCATTTGCCATTTGCGTCACGGCTCCTTCTGACCCCCGTTTTCCACTTTTCCCCTTTGGGGGCAGGCTATTGAGACCTCAACGATCCTAGATGGTACGTGTTCCGGCACCCAAGGGTTAAGGGTGAATAAAAGAACGCGAAGGAGACACTTCGAAGTGTCGACACTTTGGAACTTTTGCTTCTGCTTCTGCCTTGGCTTTTTCTTTTTATTTTTGCCCCCCTGCAATTGCTGCGTAATTTTTATTAGCTTTGAATGAGCATCTCAAGTGGCGCTCTATTTATCTTGGAAAACCCCACTCTCATTCCCAAATTGCCAACATAAATTTATTTGTTTGGCAAAACAATTTCCCCACCTCCGCGTCACTTTGATGCGTGTCTCGTTTTACATTTTTTGACAATTTCATTGTTCCGTGGCTGCCTTTTATTTTGAATGATAATTTTCGGCGCGTGTGTGAGGGGGAGTCACGTCATATGGAAAAAAAGGGGGCGTGGCAACAATGCTTTTATGCCCAAATAACAAGCCATAAACATTTGCCGTTGCCATTTGCCCATTTTCGCGCGCGCATTTTAAAAAAGACAAATAAAAATGATAAAGAATTTTATTGCTCACACGGAAGATGCACGGAAAAAAGTTTAGCTCGACTAAACTAAGCTGGAGTGCCTTTAAAGTCTATAGTTTTATCTTTGGCATTTGTTACATTTGCTTCTGTATTTTTTCAGTGTGCCAGCATTCAAATAAAGCAAATGGCTTTGTCGCATTAGGAAGCAACCTTTCTATTACTTTACTACAAATGGCCGGCAGTTTGATATTTTATTGTCTGCCTGCCTGAGGTATTTTCAGTACTTTGTGCCGTTGATTAGTTGACACATTTTTTGTATCATCCCCGGATAAAGCGATATTAAAATCCCGGCTGAACTCAAAATCTCAAACTGTCGGTTAAATATAAAAGTGACGGGCAAAGCTGATTGGTTGTTTTTCTGTGATTTTAATTGTGAAAAACATTGGCACGTGACTCAACCTTGTCAGAGTGGCACAGTTGCAATTTAACCCGTTTCTTTAAACAAAAAATGAACAATGAGGGGGCTTAAATATATTTTATTTCTACAAATAAACTCATTTAAAAATATTTTTCAACAATAATGGATGAGCATAATTGCTTATGCTCCTAACCCATTCTCACTTTTCAATGTAAACTAATCTGGTAGATACCAAACTACAGGCAATTGGTAATTTTACTGGAAGTTGCTTGGTGGGTTAAGGTCATGATGCTCCTCCAGTTGGTGGAGGAGCTCACCATAAATTAAGCATATAGAAATGTGCTCAACTGTAGTTATCCCCGAACACACATTCCGACATCCACACTCAGTGGGGGGGGAGAGCACGTCTGACCAAACATTTTGTATAGGACAATTTCTAAATGGAATTTAATTTCCGGATTAGAATAGACATTTCATGCATGCAGTGGAGGGGAGGGGTAATGCACTGGACTAACTGGGCGTCTTGCATGGATTTCTGCCACTTTGCTCTCCCTCAGCATTTAATTTCCCAGCTACTGTCATACACTCAGAAAAAAAAGAAACTGTTTGCTTTATCTCTTAATTGTTTAATACTTAATTGTTTTTTTTATAAGAAAAAATTTAATACTTCAAAACAACACCCTAAAACACTTCACATATTAATTAAAGCTTAAAATAATATATTTTATAAGCCATATATAATATTTTGCAGTGCTCTGCCTGTTCTTTTCAGATTCCTCAATGCCTCAATGAACACTCACAACAATAGGGTTTAATACTGTGGTGTGTGTGTGTGTGGCAAAGGGGCGGCAACTGATAGGCGTGGTTGGTAAATGTTACTTAACTTTCGGTCTTCCCGTCGGCTTCTTTTTCTCCACCTGCTGCTCTGGACTTTGGGTTTTGTTTAAAATTTCCAAACAATTTTCCCAACAGATTTGATGAATTTGGAGTGGAGGCCTCGAGATTGGCTGTGTCGAAGGGGGAAAATCGAAGGCAGAAAGGGAAAACACCGCCCTTTCCGGGCTTGATTTATGCCCAAGTCGAGTTATTAATGTAATTTGATTTTGCCAACAGCAGCTGAAGCGGACAAAAGCCAATGATGTTTGAGACTGCTGCCCGAAATTATGAAGATAATGACGATGCTGTCGGCGAGTTGACAATGCAGAACAGCAGCTAGTCGAGGGGCAAAAACGAAGGAGATGGCTCACATTTTGGAGAAGTAAATTTTTTAATAGAGTGTAAATTACCGGAAACACAATTAAAAATGTTCCAGGCTAAAATATCTCAAAACGAGTAGACAAAAGCTGGCAAAAACAAAGGCCATATCAAAATGAGGAAGGCAAGGGGTTGAGGGTTACGGCGTAAAGGCAAAAGGAGGAGTTTAATTAATGGTTGAGGGCTGGGGGAAATCATTTGGGGCTAACTGCAGGTTCCTCAATCACCGAGAAACGGAGCAGAGCAAGGGGTTAAGGACTCGAGCTACTTAACACCCTCTAAAGTCCTCCCCCTTAATCGTTTTCGGAATTTTCCAAGACGGTAAACGGTCGACAATGACGTTGAAGTTGGCCTAGGGCGGCCAAATTGTCGGAAACACCTTGTTTTTTGACTGGATCCAAAAGCACCCGCTTCCATTTTTGCCGACACGTTTTCCAAGGCCCTCGCAAATCCTCGTCTAAACGCTTTCCCACCCACGGCAATTGTTGTTGCCCCCCCCGTACATAATATGTCCATTGTTTATAAAACAACGGCGAAACAGGTCGCCGGCGTCTGATGAAGCGAATGTTTAAAGGAAAACACTATGTTGTTGTTGTTGTTGGTGTTATAAGGCTAAGAGAAGAGTGGGCTAATAGTTGGCAAGGTGAGTGTATTCGTGACTGGCTTTCCTATGATTGTTCGTCCCTATAATACTTGCCTGTTATATGTCTGTAAACTTTACTTGAAAAGTAAATCAAGCAACAGCCAGAAGCCAAAAAGAGTTAATTTTCTTCTGTACAAATAATTTATGTGTTTGTATTATTGAAGTTTTTCAAATGTTCTTTCCTTTTTGTATACTAAAATCAACTTTAAGCCTTGATTTTCTCACTGCTGCTAGTGCATTTAACTAAATATATTCAGTCTATGGGCTTGAAGCTTTTGTTTTCCAAATGAACGAGACGGCGGATGAATGACTGACCCAGGGACAATAGAAATGTGTATATAAAAGGAGGGGAGTGGGGAGGGTGTAGGTTTAATATGAGTTATTAGGTGCAGAAAAGTTTTATGCTGCTGCAAACCTGGTTAAAGACTTTTGTGAAGGTGCCAACATAGCGCAGCCAGTGGAAAAGAATTTATTTTCTAGTGGAAACGAAAATACCCTATTAATTCCTAAGATCATCTGATTGATATATTTTTAAAAGAGGGGGAAATTACGTCCCATATCTAAGTTATTTAGAAATTTTATAATTTTATATTAAAATTAACTCTTAGGGTATAGTAATCGGAGGGTTAAAAAGTTAGTCTCGGCGAACAACTTAGTTAGGACTTCACCTGCCCCGTGTATCTGTTAGAAACAATTTGTTTTAATTGCACAAAGTAGTTGGCAACCCTGGCTTGCAGCAGCAGCGGGGCAATTAATTCTCATTTCACTGGTCTCACCCGGGATTTTCGGCCAATGACAACTTTCCGTGTGGCCCCGTATGTTTCCTAAACGGTCTTTATTATTTTATTTTCATAATAAATGGGCGGGAAATCCCATTTGCATTGTACACCCATATCAGCTATAGTCCAAGTGATAAGGAAAAATCATGATTCTTAATACCTTTGTTGACCTATTAAATAAAATTGTATTTGTGATGATTTCAAATCAGTGATTTATTAACATAAAACTTAATTCGGGTTTTTTAGATTTTTATATATTTATTAAAGACATTTTTAATGGTTTTTTTTAGTAGAGGTTACAAAGGGTCACCAGGTCCTGCTCATCCAGTTCAGTTGCCGGCAATGGCCTGCTCGTATTTCGGCGGCAGAGTGGACACCATTTGCGGCTGCTGCTGGAGGTGGCAGTTGTTTTGACACTGGGCTGGCACCACTGCGGTGGCGGCGGGTTGCACCTGTGCTGCCGGAACAGACACCACAATATTATTCCTGGACAGCATGCGGCGGCATTTGCGGCAAGGACGACCCCAAGCCAGCGGATTGGCGTAGTAGAAGAGTCCTCGACGGTGGTAGCACTCGCACTGCACGTTGATGTTCACTGTACTGGCGTTGTTCATTGTGATTCTTTATTTGGCCTGGGCTGGACTTCCCTCAACCACTTTTCTGCCTGTACTGGCCAAGTTCTCGGCTGTTTTTATTATATATATTTTGTTGTCGAACAGACACTGAGTGCGATAAGGAAATCCTCTGCACTCCTTATCAGCACACTGATCGATCAAAGTCTTTGGCTCCCCAAGTGATCCCATTGCCTACAGAGCTTGCGATTGTTTTTATATAAGATATATGTGTGCTCCCTGATTCATAGGTGTCGAAAAACTGGGGGTTGCCTTGGGATCAGCTGAAGCCCGTGAGTCATGTTCGGGAATCTGGGAACTTGATTGCTATCGAAAATGTTAGTGTAGATCGGAATAGTGCAATATGGTTTGTATCGTAATCTATTGAGATTGATGCAGTTTTACGCTTATATACGTTTCACTTGATCTTACTGATAAGATATTATGCTTTCGGTGGCAAACACATTTGGGCTTCTCTGGTTTCCAAAACTATACTTTGCTTGCCTATAAGTTGTTTCTTGCGCAAGTTACAGACAAATTGCCATTGAAAAATGTTTAATTTGCCCAAAACTTAATAAGACCAAAAATCATTTTTTTTTTAAATCGTCCAAAAAGTAATAGGGGTCGTTAACTTTGATTATAATGGACAAACAGTGTTTGGTCCCGCTGTAGGTCACTTTTTGGCCTTTTTACAACCAAACAATCACTGTAAGTGTAGAGTTTTTATCAAAATTGTCAACTAATCTTTTCCAAATCACTTTTTATTAACTAACTAAAGGATCAGTTAAAAGGCTTAGTCGGTGTAGTCGCCAAGATAGCTCCAAAACTGAGAGATTAGTTAACGTAGAAACAGACAGATGGATGTTACGATTCTGATCGTGATGCTGATCAAGAATATATATACTTTATGGGGTCTGAGGTATCTCCTTCACTGCCTTGCAATCTGATGACTGAAAATATACTACCCTCTGCAAGGGTATAATTACATCATAAAACCTCTATGGAAAATTGTTTGTTCAGCAACAAATTGATTATTGAATACTTTATTATTTCGCTGACTGTATACAAAAAGTACACAAACATTGGCTCATTGCCAATACAAAACTCATGAAAAGAGTCAAAAATATCACATTTGAATTAAAAGCAAATATTTATTTTGTTGATCTGCTTTATTAAAATATTTTAATTTGTCTTAAATGGTTTGAAGATATCCTTTTCGATTAGTAGGTGGAAACAGCAACTGGCACAATCCTGGTGGTGGTGGTGGTGGTGGCAACAGGCACTCCCACCTGGGTGGGCACCACCACGATGTTCCTGGACATCATCCTGCGGCATCGACGGCAAGGACGTCCCCAAGCCAAAGGATTGGCGTAGTACAGGACTCCTCGGCGATGGTAGCACTCGCACTGAAGGTTGATATTAACATCGGACATGGTTCCTCGATTTGATTTTTGGGATCTTGATTCCTTGAATGTGAAGTTTGGACTGTTTCCCAGCCGCCTCTTCACCGTTTATATAGTGCATTTAGATACACAGTCAGCTAGGCTTCGATAAGGTAATGCTCTGATCGATTAAGTTGTCGTGATTCATTTATTCTGGTGGTATCTTGTCTGCTGTAGCAAGGTGACTCATGGGAGTCCTCTGCTAAAGGGTTCCCCAAGTTAATAAATGAGTCTTATCTTCCTAAGTCCCATTAAAAAGATAGTATTTAGGTTAAACAAGTGTATACATTTTTGATACATTTTATGTATCATTTGATTTATCCAAAATTTAAGTAACGCCAAATTTCAAATTTTTTGTAACATTTTATTTATCATTTGATTGAATTGTATATTTATCCAAAATTTAAGTTACGCCAAACGTGAAATTATAATTCTAATTTATGTACACTAAACAACCAGTTAAAACTTAAAGCAGTGAAGTATTTACTGGCGCGTAAAGAAATGACGATTCGTGAATTTTATTTTATTAAAGTTCAGAATATTTTATGTTCGTACACGGCGACTAGTTGTACACTAATTGATAAGCTGACTCTGGCCAAAGGACATCAATCATTTCAGCCAAGTCAGATAGCACATAACCAAAGCCAAATGCAAAAAACACGAAAACAATCATGTGCACAGATGATAGAGGAAAAAAGAGAGGGAAAAAGAGAGAGAGAGAGATAGAGTGAGAGGGGGGAGGGGGAGGGAAATGGCCTTAACCATTGTTTATGGCATTCGCCAGCAGTTAAATTTTCATATTTGTGCCGTTAACATTGCGAGTGAGTGCATTTATATATGTGAATTTATTCACCATATGAAAATGTGTCACTGCAGAGAACCGACATTGAAAACCAATTATGTAGATTTCAATTAAGGCAAAGTGCGTTTAAGTTATTTAAGCCAAATATTTCGAGTGAATTTACAATTACATGGAGTTCTTCAGGAGGCAAGGTTGAGGGGATAATACTGTTATTTAAATGTATTCTGAACTGTTTGGAACACAAATAATTTTATAAAATGTACTTAGTTATCAACTGTTGCAGAAACCATGACATTCTATAAAAAAACTTAAGTTGTGTTAAATAAACAAGTAGATATATTTTAAATGTATTAAGACTCTTTCTTAAATAATGAAGTTATTTAAAGTAAGGACACTGCAAACTTGGGGAGCTTGTACAGAATTTAGCTTTATTTATTTATAAAACAGTGATCGAAAAGTAACATTCTTTGTGAGTTAGATAAATATATATTTATTTGTGCTATTATTTAGGCTTAGTCCTATATCCAGTGAATTTGGTTGAAGTATTTAGTGGTCCGCTCTTTCCACGCGTCCTTGAAGGACCACGCCTACCACCTGGGCGGAGGGGGCTGCTGGACGATGATGACCTCCTCCCTGGGCGGCGGACGGCGGCCGCCGATGTTGAACTCGATGAAGGGCCGGCTGGGCGGCAGCACGTCCACCTCGACGATGGGACGCGGCGGCGGCGGCTGGTAGACCGCGGCAGGGGTGATGACCTCCACGCGGGGGGCGGCGGTGGGTAGCGGCCACCCACTCCGATCTCGATCACCGGGCGCGGAATCCTCGGCGGCACAATGTCCACCTCCACGATCGGCCTGCCGCCGTGGTGGTGGTGGTGGTGGTGGCGACGTTCCTCCTCGTAGTACGGCATTTTCCCGGAAGCTATCCAAAAGTTATCCTCGGTGGTGCAGGTGGTGGAGTGTTCGCCTTCGACTGTTTTCTCGAACTGAACGCACTTCTTCACCTGCCTAACTATTTAAGGCACCTTTTATCGCTAATTGGGGGAGTTTTTTTCTAATTTCGTTATGCATGTTTTCGCACAGGAGCTTAGGCCACTATCTTGTCAAGTGGAATTAATGCCTTCGATGATAAAAACATTGATAAACACAAATTGATAAAGCCAAAATTCCAATGAGGGGAAAATTGACGTGGGCTTTTGGTCTGATGCGCATGAACCAACTCAAGGTTTCTATGAATCATGCTGCTTTCCAAGGGGAAGGACAGCAATTTGGGGATTTGTGGAGTTCGAAATTCATCTGATCTATGAATCATAAAGCGGAATCAAAGCGGAGTAGTAAATTTTAAAAAGATACATATACTACTTCACTGTTTAAACAGGTTTTATAGCTCCCATGAATGAATCAGAAATCTTTTGATAGCAAGTTCGGTTACCATTTTTGTAATACCCCTTGGTTTTTATTTATAACCTGTTACCGTATTGGAAGGTATTGTCTTTGGTACCACTGGAGCCCACTATCAACACCATTGCACCACTTCGTGTTGTCATTTCGCGAACTCAAGATAAAGAAAGAGAGATACGAGTGTTTTGGTTGGGTTATCTTTCGTTTGGAGGATACGCTTTATTTGCTAGTGAACTGGTTACATTGGGTTATAGTTTTTGTGTAGTCGGGGAGCCCAACTACCACTGCGGGTAGGGCGGGTTGTTGTAGGGCTGCTGGTACTGGTACTGGTAGTCGTAGGCCTGCTGCTGGGGATAGTATCCGTTGGAGGCCACCGTGACTCCGCCGTAGGGCTGTGGCATGATCACCTGGGTTCCGGGCGCGTAGCTGACCGCGGGGGTCATGTAGACAACCTCGGCGGGCCGAGGCGGAGGCGGCGGCGGATAATATGCGCCACCCCAATCGGGAACCACATCAATCTCGATATTTGGACGACCATGGTGATGGCGAGCAGGATAGCCGCATGGATCTTCATAGTACCGCATAGTTGACTAGCCGGGAACTTCGACCGACCCAACCTCTCCACCCAGCAACGCGTTGAACACTGGAAGGCTCGGGCCAGAACTCGGCAGTCGGCACTCTGGCCGAACTGGAAGCCAGGGGCTCCATCAATCAGGGTTTGTGGGAATTATTCCAGTGGTTAGAGGGAGATAAGGCGGCTTAGTCACTCCCAAAAGGCTGATAAGGTTCTCCGGCCAGTTTCGCACTTACAGGTGATCGGGTTCTTCGCTCTTTTTTTTGTTTACTGTATTGACTGATTCCAGCTTATCGATGGCTAACGTGTTCCTATCTCCCACATAAGTGGAATTGGTAAATGTATTTCACTTTGGCTGTGCAATACTGCACGGAAAATTAGAATGGCTGTTCTCTAAATCAAACAGGTGTTCATTTACGCTTGTATGTTCCAGAAAAATACCAATTGTTTATAGAAACTACAGAGGCTCATGCTATAAATACACACTTTATTTTTCTTCGCTAATACTATCTTAAGTAAATTCATCAAGGCTGCTTTTCAGATCGGAGCTCCCCCTCAATATTGTGGGTTGTGGTAGTGGTTGCCTCCTGGCGGCGGAGGTGGCGGCTGTTGGTAGTACGGCGGTGGCGGCGCCTGCTGCACCACCATGACTGGCGGCGGTGGCGGAGGTGGCTGCTGCACCACCACAACCTGGGGGGGAGGCGGACGGTGGTGGCGGCGGGGCCACGGTGGTGCGATCGAGACCTTAATCACGGGCCCCCGGCGGGGAGGCCCTCCGCAGTGATCGTGTGGCGGTGGTGGCATTGTGGGGTAACTTTGTTGGCCAACTAACAATTCCTGGAGCGTCCAAGTACGTCGACTTATCGATGGTAACTGAACTAACTGAATGCGCAGCTCATGATACTGTCTAGGCCATCAAACAGCTAAGTACCTGCCCTCAAAAAAAAGCTCCAATAATATTACTCATACGCAGTAGCGGCTCGTATTTACTTTTAACCAGGAAAAGTATCGCTAAGAGGGATAAGTTATCGATAGTTGGCAGCTACATACAGCTTTGGCTTTATTTGACACAAATTTTTGGTGGGATAAAGCTTAATGATATCAGTTAAGTTAAATTAAACCCAAAAAAATAATCCTTTTATCGTGATGAGACAATGCCTCTGGGGTTACTAAAAATGACTCATGGATTTTAGGGAATTTTTTCTTTGTTTTATAAAATGGTGAAATTAATAGGCGGAGCTGCTTAAGAGTATCAATAAAAAGTGACTAGGGAAACACCTAATTCTTGAGGCCCACACCCCACAACTATGCTCAATTTTAATTAGAATCCAAAGTGGCATACCTCTAAACGTTTATAATCGCATCCCTGATGAAACTGCATTCAAAGTTTTTCATTTTAGGATGGTCGAAATTTTAACCCCTGTTCAAGTCAGACTTTTCCATGTTTTCCGATTATTTGCCAATAGGAGTTTCTTCAAGAATGCGATAACAGACATTCACCAACTTACACTTAATCTTACAAGAGCAGGCAGCTAATTCGATTAAATATTTATTAAAGTTTCAGCCCAAAAGAATTTCCAATACTTGAATACATATTTTGCCAGGCTTGTAAATATTTTGCAAATATTTACACGTCTATTATGCAAAGTTTGCAGACATGATTTGCCTCGAGGGGCGCCTTAGGCAAATATTAAATGCACGGCAAAGAAAACATGATAATTTCTGCCGGTCAATCAAAAGGTCCTTCGAGTCCTTTCGACTCTCAATCACTTGGGCAAACAAGTGCCGAGATCTCGACTTCGCAGCAGGACTGCGGGGCCATTTTGGCTTTTGTTAATTGAGTGGTTCGTGCTGCACTTTGCAAGGACTCGCGCTCCGGCTTGTCACTCTGATCAAAGGACAGGGGCTGCCGGGGGTTAAGCGGGCTGCCGGGGGTTAAGTGTTCGTGGAGGGGTGTGTGCTCTGCGCCTAAAAAGTTAAACATGCACAAAGTGGCAAACGAGTTTCGGGCAAAGTTTTCAACTGCCGCAAAAGATGGAAATGGTTGCCGCATAACTCGCAACATATCGACTCAAATTTGTGGGCGGGCAGAGCATGGGGGCGTGGCAGAGAAGGAGGCTTTGGCAGAACGCTTGGCAGCGCGTATCCAATGTAATGATGCTTTTTCTTTCAGCAATTCCTATCTTGTCAAAGAGTCGAGCAACTTGACAATAAAGTGGTTTCAACATACTTTTTCGCTTTTGAATATGTTTCTATAAATATTTAATCTTTCCATAAAACACTTAATTTAACTTTCATGAAGTTGATAATTTTTTTTAAATTATATTCCAGTCGAAAACATCTTTTTTTTTGTGAAGTGTGTTCAACTGTCGCTGTTTCATTTCACATTTTCCTCATATATATTTTACCTCTTTGCCTGCCGCTCCTTATGCATATTTTAGGAAATGAGTTGCAATCGAGTTCTGCGTTCTGCCAAGATAAAACATCCCCGTCTCCGCCGAGTCAAGACGGCATCGGAATCAAAATCAGAGCCTGAATCAGAATCAGAAAATTGGGGTTTGCAATCGGGAGCTGAGTCTGAAACTGAGGCAGCGCCTCCGAATCGATAGCTGTCAGAAAATAAGCCGGCAAGCAACATGCAAGACAGGCGTGAGGGGGCGTGGCAAGGGGGAAGGGGAGGGCGGTGGTGTCCGTGGTGCTGGTGGTTTTTAGCGGTAGCGGCGGCGTCGCACAATTTAAATATTTATGGCGCTGCGCTTGGTGCACAAGAAACGGAACCAGGCACACGGCATAGCCAAAAAACCGTAACCGTAAACCTAACCGAGAAACCAAGGAAAGCAGCTATTCGAAATTCCGCAAGCCGTGAACGTACACTGACAAAAAAGAAGTGTGCGTTACTGTGCGAAACGAAAGTCAAAGAGTCGAAATACTTTGTATTTCCTAAATGAGATTTTAACAAATTATTCTTCTCAAATATGTTCCAATCGAAGTAAATGAAAAATAAAGTTTATTACATTTTCTCCAAGTGCATCACCACCTCCTTTACGAGGCCACCAATTCAGGCATCTTCAGCGGCGGCGTCAGAAAACGCATTTCCTGCTCATGTCATGACATGCAAGAGCGGCGGGGAAAACGCGTAACGGGAGTTGGCTGGGAAAAGCGGGAAAGTTGGAAAATCGGGTGGTGCAGAAATGGGTTGCCCCGAAAGAAATCATTGCTTTTGTCGACATGTCATGGCAATACTCGTATCTGGAAAGTGTTTTCGGGGGCGGGCTAAGCAGTTTTCCGAACATTTTATTGAGCTACAGTTTTCATGCATTGGCTGTGAGTTTATGATTGATGGAGCTGTAAAGCTGAAGTCGGAGCTCCAGAAAGCTAAGGAAGGTGGGGGATGGCATGTCAGCTTAAAATATAACTTTAAAAAACAGAAAGAAAAAAATAATTACACTACGCAGTTCCTATGTTTTTTCTTTGCTACAGAAAGTTTATTCTTTTTTTTTGTGTTTTATAAAACTTTAAATAAACTCATACCATTTATTTTTTTGTTGGCTGTATATCTGTGCAGGCGCTGTTGCACAACAGTTTGGCAAGCACTGCTGATTGCATTCTTGTAAAGTTTTAATTGAAACTACTCACAGTTTCGTAGGCATTGGGGAGCGGAGTCCACCCCCACTATCTCCTCCCTCTGCCAACCGCTCCTCCCACTCACAAGGCCATTAAGGAACTTGTTAATTTGCATTTTCCATTTCCATTTGCATGAAATTTGTTTCTGTTCTCCTGGCGCAAAAATTAACCGAGGGAAACAAAAATAAGCGAAAGAGAGTGAAAACTTGTGCCTTTAATTAGCTGCCTGCGGTTTTGCACCCCTTAACCCAAAGGTACCACATATATTTTGTCGTGACATATTCCTCTCTCTGGATCCTTTTGACACTCCTGGCAATTTCCGGCTTTCACTTTCTCGAGCCGCTTTATAATTGGGTTTTGCTTATTTTCGCAAACACAATAAAAGCTTTCCCATACACAATCACCAAAAATTCGTAAACATTTACGAGGGGAAAGGGTCCCCAAACGTTCGGCAAATATTTTGTGACTTTGTTGCGTAACACGAGGTGACCAACTCCAGACCACGCCCCCTCTTGGGGTTTCCCCTCCCTATTTTTTTGGCCAGGCAGCCGAGTGGAAGAAGATTCGTCTGTCCACTCGAGTGTGCAATTAGGTGAAAATAAGTGGTTCCACAAACGCCTTCGAGTATGCAATCATTTAAATTTCACTTCATTTGTCATTTCCATGATTTGTCCCCTGTTCGACGGCCTGTTTTACACTGAAAACATCTGTTGATTGACCTAAATTGGATTTTTTTATAGCTCAATAAGTACAACTTTATGTTTCGACATAACTCAACTTCCTTTTCCCGCAGTGGACACGCTTTCTTTGCCCATTTTTCCCCTGCGAAAATCCAGCAACCAAACGAAATTATTTTGATTTATATGCAGGCAGGCACCTGCTCATTCGAGTTCCTTGTTTTCCTTTTCTGCCCACATATTTTCCCGCCCCTGGATTTGTCTAAACTAAACGCTTTGATTTGCGCAACACCCCGCCAAGAAACTGCCGTTCGTTTCCCGGATGTCAACAAAAACGGAATTTGAAATGCAAATTTAATTTGAGACAAGACGCGCGGCTCGAGGCCTCCTCAAGACCAGTGGTTCCTCGCTTTAATTGCCCCAATGAAAGGGACGAAGGTCCTGCTGGGAAATCGGGTGGGCGGCGGTAAAATCGAGGAAACTCTGAGGAGCTGACAGCTGAGCGCCTGCTTTGCCTGTTAATTTTGCGCCAAATCAGCAACAACTTTGATTTCGATTTTATGCCATGTGCATAAAATTTTTGCGCTGACTCAAAAAGTTCGCACAAGTAGTGTGTGTGGGCGGGGGTGGGCGGAAAGAGGGAAATTCTGGCGAAAAGGCGGTGGGAAAAATCAAAACCCTATCCGAGCGGAGTGTTTGGCCTGATTGAAATGTTGGCAACTATTGCGCCAAGTACTCACAAGTTTATTGGCAAATTGATGAAGTGTGTTCGCCTTTGCATGCGCATGAGTTTTCCACAGCCTGCAAAACAATTTTCCATTTTCATTGCATGCCGCTTGCAATTTGGCCGCGCTGATATGCAAATTAAGTTGTTGCACTAAACGACGTGCCGGGAAACAGGGAAACCATGGGCGGTGGAAAACGCGGGATGGGCTTCTCCCCTTTTGGCTCATTTGTATTACAATTCGTCACTGAAACCCACATGTGTGTGCGGGTTGAAGAAAAGTTTGCCTGGTTATGAGCAGCAATGCCTTTCCTAACCATTTTTATTCACGAGATGTGAGTTTAAAGTTACCCAGAGTAAACAGAAAAGTAGTTATTATTGAAAAATACAATAAAAAACTCATTGACTTGAATAACGGATTCACAACCTTTGTAATTTAGAATAACCTGAACTTTAAGATTCCTTTAATCTTACTATACACGAATCAACTTGCACATTAACATTTGGGGTTACACCCTAAAACTCGAGAGCCTTCACTCCACTATCCGCAGCTCAAGTTGCCTCAATCAAAGCCCCATTTACATTTCCCGACCACACTCTCAATCGCCACTCAAATCACAATCGAAACACCTCAAGCAACCTCCTCGCATTTAGATGATTTGTTGCCAGCACAAGGGTGTGCGATGTTGTATATGTTATAACGCTATTCGTGGCAAGATTTATGGCTAAGTCTGGGAAGGGAGTGGCACCCACTTGCATTTCAATTCTGCATAAACTCTGAAAATTCTCGAAACCCAGAAGTGAAACAGCAAAATGCGAACGGCACGGAATGCCCTCTTCATTAGCTCAATAATTTGACGAT